GTTTAATTCCTTTATGTGGCATAGATCACATAAATAATAAAAWGGGATTGTTGGAAAGCCCAAGACACCTTCTACCTTGTCATGCCATTATGTGAAGCAGTAACTTTATTCTGTAAAGAGACTTCATGATCCTGAAAAGTCCTAACTTCTGCTTCTGAAGTAAAACTTATCAAGATTTGCTCCTAGATATGCAGTTTTATGCTCATCCTCCACCTGCCAACCTATATTTTGCTTAAACAGATCTGTTATTTCAATTAGATGCAGCAGGATTTCTGAGAACTGTCATAAAAAAACCATAAAAAACTAAAAAAGCTGCTTTTGACAGCTGCTTTTAAAACTGAGTTGGATGTTAAACACAAATGCTTCAAAATASTTCCATTTTTAGAAGGTTGGTTTTCGCTAAATTAGTGCTGAGAGATTTGTGTAGTACTATCTGCACACCCCAAGCCTGCACAGCATTCAACTGCTGGAGGAACTGAATCATTCCTCCAATTCCCATTCCACAGATATGGTAGTTTTAAAAATAGAAAATCCATATCTGACTTGGAAAAAAATAAATTAAATGAGATCTTGTTTCAAGGTTCAAATATGACTTATGTATATACCTGAATGAGGACTACATGTCCTTTCTTTTTTTGTGGCAAATAACAATTTCTTCAATTAAACGTATTTTTATTTCCCCCCCATAGCTTTCTTCTTCCTCTGTGAGTGCTTTTCTGATTGGTTTTATATAAACCTGAAAAGGCAGGGCAAGTTTGTTTTGGTGTCCTTTAAACTCACGAGGTCATAAAGAAAACATCCCAGCTGGAAATATTTGTCTTTGAAACAGCAAACTGCAGTTCTTATTTTTCTTCTGCAAACACCCACTACAACCCAGATTGTCTTGGCAACTTACCATTAGTAGAGCTGGACATGATAAAGCAAACACAGTCGTACACAGAAGGATTTTCTCGGATCCTCTCCACCCAGACATTGGCCACCTCAGGCTGGGAGAGGCAAGTTAACAACAACCTAGGCAAGAATCCCTCATTTAACAAATTAGAAGCCAATTCACTCCTTTTAGCTGTACARGTGTAAATCCAAAACAATGAGAATGATGTGACAGAAACAGGAATCTAACTCACAGCAAAKTGATTCCAGAACAGTGCAGAAACAATAAAAGGATAGGATGAGTGGATAATAAAATAATGAGCCCACTTGTCAGTTTTCTCCCCAGGCCTCAGTGCACAGCAGAACTACACCAATGATGCATTAATTTCTGGGATGTCCTACCTGCTTGTTTCCAGAAGAGTTGGGGAGTCTGAATCACACAAACGCTGCAGTAACACTTGGCTTTAAGGAGAAAATGCAGAAGAAAAATGTTAGTAAAATCCACCTTTATTTTTTTCAATAAAAAAGGTCATTTCACAGCTGCAGCCAAGTTCTGAGATTGAAACCAGCTTTTCCTAACTATGCATGCATTTTCAGAGTCTCACGACTCCAAACTTAGAAACTAACTTGACTGGTGATTAAAATGCCCCAAAAAAGTAGTGGCCTATATCCATTTGCTCTTTCCTGAGCACTTCCCCCACAAACATGGTCAGCCAAAAGTTATGAATGAAGACCAGGCTTGGCAGGCAAGCTTAACATGTATTTCCTGACTGTGAATCCAGACAAGCACACAGACACTTACCCAAGATTCTCATCTTTGCTAATGGACATGCAGATGTCCTGGAAACAGGCCATATTTCCTAATATTCCCACACAGATTTCCTGGAAAGTCAAAACAGAGTATAATGAGACAACTGCAACACAGTACACAATTTCACTGCCAGACCTGTAAGGCAGAAGTAAGAGTGCTTCAAAGATGTTTCCCAGTTTGATTTTCAAGCTTTTATGACCCACTGATTTCATGACAAAGATACAATCTTCTTTCACAAGTTCTATACCAATTTTTCTGTTCTATCGGACTAGTCTAAAATACAGTCAGGTACTATCCAGGCATTTGGGTGTTAAGGTGTTCCATAAAAGCTTGAAATTAGTTCTGTTTGCACATTCTATGTATACTGTTTCGAAGCTAATCTGGCAGCCCTGTTATTAAAACAAAAACAAGTCCTGAAACAAAAACACCACTACATGAGCATGACTCTCAATCTTTTTGTGTTTATTTCTCATTACCTTGTTCTGGTTTGATTGGTAATATATTAATTTCCCCAAGTGGAGTCTTGCCYATGACAGTGSTGAGTGATCTCTCCCTGCCTTTACCTTGATCCACAAGCCTTTTGTTATATTCTCTCTTCCCTGCCCAGCTGAGAAGGGGAGTGACAGAGCAGTGTTCATGGGCACCTGGCCTCCAGCCAGGGTCAAATCACCACACTTCTGTAGGTCTGACTACACAAATTCATGACCATTTCTGTTTGGTAATCATAAAACAAGTCAAAAGGAAAAAAAAGGCCTGGTTTTATAACAGGTCTTATAATTAGGCTYGATAAACTCAGTCCTCCACCAGTTTATCCAGATGATGATATGAGCAGACATCTACCAGCTTCAGCATCACCAAAATTCTTACTGATTAGACCACATTAAAAACACWGTGAAAAAGCATTTTGAAATTGGATTATGTGTTTTCTCCTGCTTCCCCTAATACATTACACATGCAGTGAGAGAAGAGAGGTAGGTGTAAATGCATGTACAGAGMGATCTGCTATTTCTATTAACACGGGACAGCTTTTTGAGAGCCCACACTTACAGTTAGGCGAGGRCATTTGGACTTGGCAAAAACTCCCATGAATATATCGGGGGCATTGAACTCCTGAAGAAACAAAGCAACATCCTGTGGAGAAAGTGAATGGAGAAGTAAGTAGATCTTTACAATTTCCAAATGCAAAATCAGATATGTTCCCACAGCACAAGGACTGGATCAAAGAGTTGACAAACTCACTACAAGAAATCTGTTATTTGCCAACAGTCAATACCAATAATCCTTATTTTTCAATGATAGAAGGCCAGCAAGCCCCACTGATGATTCAGTATGCCAGTGATTTGCTGTACAATGAGCCAAAAAGTCAAATTTGTAAGAAAATGCAAATTGTTACCTATCTCAACAGAGATGGTCAGAATCCAGTAAATATCCAGTTTAAGCCATGACATCACCATGACATATCAAAAGAAACAAGCAAAGTGATTGCAATTAACACTTGATCAGAACACACAAAAGAGGAAATCTCCTCTTCATTTTACCAGACTAAAACACAAGATTAGTTCTCTGTTTGGGAGTAAACACCCATATTCCACATTTATTTAAAAATATTAACAGCAAGCTAAGGAATAAAGTAATAATACTTAAACTAATACATATATATATATATATATATATATATATACAAACACATACACACATGTATCTTGAGAATTTGTTCCAGCATTTGAGAATGCTGAGAAAAAGACCAAGGATCTGTGGTTACATTGCCACTGCAGGTCTGTAGCTAAACTTTGAACGGCTGTTTATCTGTCAGAGGAAGTTATGCTTACCAGCAGGACGTATTACAACTGTTAGAGGAAAATACGTCTATTTAGAGATGACACCAATACTATCCCGTACTCAAAGTGCTGAGCACACAGGCTGTGCATCCGAGTTAWTTCCAATTGCAGAACCACCCCACCTGCCCTGCCCGCCACACCAGAACATGAGCGAGCCCGGCTGATTCCCCGCCTTCTCCCCCTCCCAGCAGGATTCTGACTGACCGCTCGGGTCCGAGTGCCGCACAAGGCTCCTACCTCGTCCATCGACATATCCCACACCTTGCAAATATCGTTCTCCATCTCCTCGTCCAGCTCCGTCCGGGCTCCCTCGGGGCTGGYGGCGGGATCCGGCTCCGCGGGGGCGATCACCTGGGACACAGCGGGAGGGGGAAAACCACTCGGCTGAACCCCCGGCACCACCAGGGAGCCTCTGGGACCCCGCTGGGCTCCCAGGCACACACCCCGAGTTTTTCCCCGCTGTGTCCCCGGATTTGTCCCCGCTGGTCCCCGCCGTGTCYCCCCCGGCCCTGGGAGCGATCGCGTCGCACCCACCCGGGGCTGATCGACACCGGGCCCGCCGCCCGCTCCCTCCCGSCGGCCGCGCACCTCGATGAGGCGGGTGAGGACGCTGAAGAGCCAGTGCTTGCTGTACACCGTGTTCCCCACCGCGTCCCCCTCCTCTTCCTCCGCATCGCTGCACGGCGGTGACGGGTTGCGGTCCATGGCGGGCCCACAGCCGTGCGGGGGCAGCGAGGCGGCGGCGCGGCCGGAGCGGCGCCCGCGGCCCCCACAGCGCCCCCACAGCGC